GACAAAGTTAAATATTAGTTCACGCGTAGTGAGACATCCCTACGTGCTCTCAGGGATATCAGAAGGGAAATAAAATGAAAAAAATTTTGTTCTTGCTCACTTGAATATGAGAGTGGAATATTATTTTAATTATTTTCTCTATACGTCGATTTTAAAACTCTCACAACAGTAAATATATGCAATAAATTATTTTCTTTATGATAAATGAATTTACTTAAATCAAAAGCTTCATTGATTGTTTTTATAATTTTTACTAATCTTCAATTTCTGTATCGGTGAATAGTGTGATATTCTTACTAGGTTAGTGTAACTCACCATTTCATTAATTATTTCAGATCAAGAGGACCAAGACCCAGATACCGAGCAACAAGAGGATTGTGAATAGTTCATTACTCGAACTCCCTTCAAAAACTAGTGAAGGTCGTCCTAGAATGCTCAACATATTGTCTTTTATTTATTTCCTTAATTTTGTTTGTTCTTTTGAAAAGGTCATGCCCGTGACCCTATTGAACATTCTAAATTATTGTGTAAAGAATATAAACTCTAAACTCTATTGTTTCACTTATGCATTTAATTCATTACTTTATTTCCTTTTAAGTTCTGGGTCTTTACAAATTCGTTATGTTAAGTATTAAACAAACTTCTTCAAGTTTAAATGTATTTAAATAAAGTAAGAACTCCATTAGTTATTTTTCTAATTTTTTACCGATCTTTAGTTTTTAATATCTATGATTAGTGTGTTATTCTTGCTAGATTAGTGTACCTCACCCTTTCATTAACTATTTTAGATTAAGAGGATCAAGATCAAGATCAAGATCAAGATCCCGATCAGCAAAAGGGTTGTGAGTAGTTCACTATCCGAACTCCCTTCAAGTGCTAGTGAATGTTATCTTAGGATACTTAGTTATTTGTTTTTTATTTTATTTCTTTAATTACTATTTTGTCTTTTAGAATAGACACTCTCGTAGCACTATTGGGCAGTTAAAATAATTATATAAGGAATGTAAACTCTAACTATATTAATCATTTCTGTATTTAATTGATAAATTTATTTTCATTTTAGTTCCAGACTTCTACAATTGGTATAAGAGCCGTGTTTCTTGGAATTATTCCTTATACAAAGACTTAAAAACACCAAATATAAACTATCGTTTAATCTTTCCTTGTGACATGAAGGTACAAGAAAATGAAGAGAGAAAGATCTCCACTAAATCGAGCAGCCCGGGGTGGCTCACTTCGAGAGGACATTGACTGACTCTTTTAGATGCTGAAGAGACTCATCTCTACCCAGCAGGCCCGGGAGGAAAGGAGGGAGTTGTCTGACCCTCCTCTGCTGCCACAATTTGAGCCACTCTTACAGCGAAATAATATGAAGCTACCCTGGTACAACCCTACTCATTTGCCGTGCCATCCGACACCACCACAATACAATCTGATGCCTCCATTGTATCATTTAAAACTACGACAGTACAACCCAGTGCCTTCACCATATCATCCAGCATCACCACAGGGCCACCCTGTCCCTCCCCAGAATTATATAGTTCCTCTTCCACGAAATCCAGTTCCACCAATAATAAACCCAGAGTACATTGAAAGGTACAAAAAATTAAACCTATCTATCTTTAGAGGACATCCTCTTCTAAAGAAGCCGAGTATTAAATAGCTGAGACAGAGAAGACATTCACGACTCTTCGGGTAGTTCCCAAACTGAAGGTTGTACTTGCCACGTATATGCTTGTGGGAGAGGCAAACCGCTGGTAGCAGCTCAAGCAAGCCACCATACCCGTTCCAGTCACTTGGGAACAGTTCTTAATAGCCTTCAATGTAGAGTACCTTCTATAGCACCTCCAACATTTGAAAGAAATAGAGTTTGCACACCTAGTCATGATCGGTCCTGCGTACATGGATGGTCCGAATTTGTTTCTCACTTAAGTGCGATTGGACGGCCAAGATCAATCACGATGAATGACGCATATTTATTTTCTCCTTAAGTGAGATCGGACGGATGAGATCGATCACGATGGACGGTCCAGATTAAGGCGAGATGAGTATAAATACTTTACATTACACAAGAACCTGAACCCTAGCTGTCAGCCCCCACTAGAGAAGAAGATCCAGATGCCGGAGAAGGAGGCCGACCACCGACCTTCGTTGCACTGGAGCCACCACCAACCGCCAAAAAGGTAAAAATTCTCCCTACCCTAAATCTGAGCACCCCTGTGTTCAAATCAGAGCAAGAGAAATAGTAGGTGAGGCGAAGATTGCGGGCAAAGCCCGACGAAGCTGCCACATCCAAAATCCCAAAATCTTTCTGATGAGCCCCTTCCCGATTCCCGTTTCACCTGATTTTTTTATCATTGTATCCATCGTCTTTTTTTGTGCGGGTTAGCCGAAGAAAAAATCTTAACCGCGAAGGAAGACAAGCAAAGCCGCAACACCCGGAGGTCCCCCCGCCTGCAGGTTCGATTTTTGTGATTTTCTAGCCAACTGAGACCCTCTAACATATTTTTCTGCAGGAATACAGTCAAAACTAGCCAAACTTAGCCAGATCGAAGTAAATCACCACCATGGCCGACGGAGCCGGCACTATATCAGAACCTCAAAATTTGCTGGAACGGGTTTTGGATACCGATTTTAGATTTTTGGGGTATTTTTAGATACGTGATGAGTGTTTTGAATTCCACATGAAAAATTCAGGGAACCCAGTACCTGTTAAGAGGTAATAGACAACTCGATGTCTCAAAACACCAATCCGGATAGGATCTCTCACCCTATTCTCCGTTATAGTAAATTGAGGCTTAACGATGTATAATTTTGTAGTTTTATGAAAAATTTAAAAATCCTAAAAATAATTATAGGTTACTAGTGGAGGCGAAATCGATCAGTTCACAATTATCTAGATTTTCTGTTTATTTCTCTGTACTGTCCTGTTTATTTTATTTTCGTATAGTACATGTTCTTAATTTATAGTTCAATAATTTTTTCGATTTATCTAGTTTATTCAGTTACAATAAATCATATCATTTGCATAAATGTCGTTTAATTTATATGTGAATGTGATATGAGATATTGGAATGCATTTATTGATTATTTGTTGATGAAAATATATATGTGAAAGAGTTGTTAGTTACCCAGGGAAATGGTGGACGAGCCTAATACATAAGAAACCCTACTGTGAACGTTATCTCAGTTGGGCGGGGCTGGAAAGTCCCTTATCGAAAAGGTTTTGAAGATATAATTCACCCTCATATCGGAAGGAGTATCGAGGTGATGAAATATTTGGCGACCATTACCAGACAGGATATGGAGACGGCTTGTTAATTGTAAATTGAATATTGGGTTCACGAATAAGAGGGACATTCCCATAGATCCGCAAGGGTACCAATAAGTAAGTAAGAAAAGAAAGCTATTGCTTTTTATTCTCTTATGCATGAAAATGAAAAGTGGTATGGATATGGAGTCTTTATAGGTTGTTTTTGAAAAACTCGTTATGGTAAGTATTAAAAAAACATGTTTAAGTTTAAATATATTTAAATAAAGTAAGGGCTCCATTTGTTATTTTTCTGATTTTTTACCAATCTTTAATTTTCCGTATCTGTGATTAATGTGATATTCTTACTGGATTAGTGTAGTTCACACTTTCATTAATTATTTTAGATCAAGAAAATCAAGATTTAGATCTCGATCAGCAAGATTCACTATCCGAACTCTTTTCTAGTACTAGTGAATGTTGTTTTAAGATGTTTAGTTATTCGCTTTTCGTTTTATTTTTTTAATTACCGTTTGTTTTTTAGAAGAAACATATTCATATCTCTATTGGGTATTTAAAATAATTGTGTAAGAAATATAAATTCTAACTTTATTAATTATTTCTGCATTTAATTTATGAATTTATTTTTATTTTAGTTCTGAGTTTCTATAAAAATAGTAGTAATAATAATAATAATAATAATAATAATAACTATAACATAGACAATAATAATCAATATTATAAATCAACAATAATAATCAATATTATAAATCAACGAAGAAAATAGTGCTAAGGAAAATGAATTTGATGTTTATAGCAGTATTATGAATTGTATATAAGCACCACAAAAACATATAAATTATTAATTTGTTTTTTTTTTTTTAAATCACTACTTAAACTGGTATTGCTTATTCACCTCTATTAAGGTGAAAATTACTACCCGCCAAAGGATAAGTTGAAACAAAGTGCAATTTTATTTAATATTTTAAATTTAATTACGTTAAATATTTCTTGTGAATTATAATATTATTATTGTGAATGTATAATAATGTAATATATAGAGAAAAAGAATTTTGCAGCAATTTGATCTTTATGCATGTGCTGCTGCATTATTCAAGATGCGATCAATACTATTCATGACTTGTAAGTTTGTATTAGGAAGAATATATACCCATGGAGGTCATATGATATATACATACATATTTATATATATATATGTTTTTAATGATTTGCAAGTTGATATGCTTAAAATAATCAAACCCACGAGTGTTTGTTTATGAATAGTAAGTAGTTGATCATGTGGTGGGGTTTGCGTATGCAATTCCTGGAAATTACTCACTCTGCTTACCATTAATTATTTATTATGAAAAATGGAAATAATTATGAAGTGGAAAAATAAAAGATAGAAAGACAGAAAGAAACGACAACGTATAAGACTTTATATGTCTAAGCGAATATATAATTAAATTTGAGATTTAATCCCTCATGTGCTTTAATTACCTAGCCCACATTATATTAAACAAAAAGATTCTACTTGATTCAAATTTTAAACTTGACCCTTACTCTTGACCAACTTACTTTCTTTGTCTTCTTCTTTCTCAAATCAATAAATAATAATTTCTTCTCATCATAAAAGTAGCTATATATATATATATATATATGTATTTATATCTGAATTGGGAGTTCGTGGAAAGAGCAAAGTGGTGGGCTTGGACTTTTCAAGGTCTCTTCCTCTATAAATATCAGTCTTTGCCTTCAACTTTTTTCAGTTGAGGAGTAGAGAAATTGTAGCTTGTGGATCATTAATCATGGGCAGAGCTCCTTGCTGTGAGAAAATGGGATTGAAGAAAGGGCCATGGACGCCAGAAGAAGATCAAATCTTGACCAACTACATTCGTAAATACGGCCATGCTAATTGGCGGGCTCTACCTAAGTTAGCCGGTAATTGATTTATAAAATTCGAACTCAGAATCTTCAACAAAAGTTATATATTATCCGAACTAGGATATGAATTCGCGTTCGATTGTGATCGTGTAGGTTTGTTGAGATGTGGAAAAAGCTGCAGACTACGGTGGATTAACTACTTACGTCCCGATATTAAACGAGGCAACTTCACGCCGGAAGAAGAGGAAACCATCATCAACTTGCATCAGATTCTGGGAAATAGGTAATGCTTAGACCAATATAATTGTTTCACTCATGAATACTCTGTACTCTTTAACATATATATATATATATATATATGTATGTATACACACACACACATAATTAAGTTACCAATATCTTATCAGAAATATTTCTTTTTAATTATATATATAGGTGGTCAGCAATTGCAGCAAAATTACCAGGGAGGACAGACAATGAGATAAAGAATGTGTGGCATACCCACTTGAAGAAAAGGCTCAAACAAAAACCAAACACAATTATTTCACAAATAAAAAATGAACCTTCTTCTCTAACATCAAAATCGTCAGAAACTCCCACCTCATCTCTCCCACTTTCTCCACAAGCTTCTTCTTCTGAAATTACAAATAACATGGAGGATATTTTCCCAGAAATTGATCAAAGTTTCTGGTCAGATTTTTCAGAGATCAGCAATGAATTAGAACAAGACTATTCTTATTATGGCCTGGATTCATCAGTTTCAGGTTTGGATGAGTTTTGGTACGAGCTTTTCATTAGAGCTGGAAATGGACAAGATCAATTACAGCAACTTTGGTCTTGAAGTTATCAGTCAAATTGGCCTTGGAATTTTTGATTTTGACAAATGATAAACCCAAGTCTTGGTCTTTCATTTCATGTGCCAGCTGATTATACTTTTTTGTACAGAAAATTACTTTTTCTTCTAACTTTTTTTATTAAACCCATGCCACGTCTCTAATTATTTATACACTGCATCGTATACATTCTCTTCTCCAATTCTGTCACCTTGAGTTTTTATTCAGTCCTTTTCTGAATTAAAAATAAAAATTAATTAAAACCAACATGGTTCTTGCTCACTCTTCTTACCCTCAATCTAAATGGATGACCAATTGAGACAAATGCATCCATTAGAAAAGGCTCTTTCCTCGAAGGCTAATTGACGTTAGGAGGATGACTCTTCTTTCAAAAATCAAATCATAATTTTGGAAAAGATACACTCTTGAAATACAATCTTTCGCTCATGAAAATTATAAAAGTCTGATATAAATTGTGTTATTTGCCAAGACTGACTCATCATAAATACTTCAAATTTTATATAAAATATTCGTTAGTCGAAATGTTATAACTAAATATAATATCTATTTATATTAGAGTTATCACAATTTTGATATTATCAAAATAATATAAAAATATTCTTAAAGCTTAGGGAAAAACTCACACCCATTAGAGACATAAGTGGACACAAAAACTAACAGAAGTCAGAAATGGGAGTTTAAAATTAGGGAAGTGTCATGCTATAAAGGACATAAAGCATCAATAGTTTTATGGGTATACACTAGTCATTTAAAACAATTTTGCATGCTAATATTTTTATCATAGCTAGAATATGTAATAAATGCTTGTGACGTTCATGTATAAATCGAAAAAACAAAAAAATAGTCAAATTAAGTTACATCAAGGGACCAGGCAGAGGAAACTTTCAAATACCAAAATAATTTTAAAAATCAAATGAAAGAAGAGTGGAGCCATTTATCTCTAACTCTTGTTTGCTTATATTCTGTAACGGCCCAGGAAAAATTTAATATTGGAAAGGCATATATATAGATAAATAATCTGAATTTGCGGAAGTGTATTAAACATTACAATTAACATTCCTTACGCAATACCAAAACGTGTTCAACAAATGAGGGAATAAACTAATTAAAATAAATGCTCGAAAGTAAGAACTACAATTATAACTATGGGATCTTTAGGCGTCCCCTTCGCCGTCTTCCTGCGGAACGGGCTCGGGAACCACATATTCCTGATCTGAAATAGTTAAGTAACGAGTGAGCTACACTAGCCCAGTAAAGACATCACTCTACCTCACTGCCACAGGAGTAAGGGTGGGTAGAAAATAAAAACGACCAATTGAGCATAATTTGTAATAAATCCATTTGTTCATAAAAACGTTTACTTTCCATTTACCTGGATGAGATCCATAAAATAATACACAAGCAACACATTATCATCATCACGTTATCACATAGACTTTATAATACAACATTTATCACGCGTTTGCATTTCAATCTTTAAACAGCATAATTCCTCTTTACCAGCCTACTAGTATCCATGGGGATCCATAGGGGTCCCGCTACCCGTGAATCCTTAACATTTATAACCTGATTCCAGGGCCGTCCCCATACCCCGTCCGGTATGGACGCCAAAACCATGAACCTCAATACCCCGTCCGGTATGAGGGTGAAACGGGTCGTCCTCATACCCCGTCCGGTATGGGCGCCAAAACACATAAGGTCTCCATACCCCGTCCGGTATGAGAGACCACGTTCCCGGTAGGGTTCCCTACGGACCCGGTCCGTCCACCATCTCTCAGGATACCTACTCAGGCTGTCCACATTATCCGTTTGCCAATTCACATAACCTTTTATCCCTTTTTCTTTAGTCACCATCATCAAGTCACACACAAATATTCAAACCGGTAGTTCACGCCAACAAGACAACACACAACATCGGGTTCTCAGTCATTCAGTCCATAATCAATGAAACTGTGATACATGCACACGAAACTATGAAATAAAAATATCAGACATCATACTGCATTTAAAATTGTAAAATAGAACAAACAACAACTAACCGACAAATACACTAGACTCGGGCTCCATTAGCAACCTTAAACAATTTCACACAGCTATTGATTCATGAAATAGCATTTTATCATTTATTGCACTTTAATACCGTGATAGAAAATAGGGTGAGGAATCCTTACTTGTTTTCGGGACCTGAAATAGGCTTTTCCGAGCGCCTGCGGGTTATCCCTAAATTTCATGAATTTTTTTTCGAAAAAATGAAACACGCTACCGGTACTTGCACGTGTCCCAAAAATCTCAGAATCAGACCTAGGGCCCCTTTCGGCCAATATTGCAATTCTAGCACGGTGGGTCCGCCGTGCTCCGGTGACGGCGCCGCCGCTTGCATCGGCGATTCGCCTCGGGTTGGCCGTTTTTGGCCGAATTCGGCCACACTTACATCGGTCCCTGCGATAAAACAACCCTAGGGCCCTCGGGGGGCCAAAAAATTACGAAAAACCGAAGCTTACCGGCGGCAGTACTCTTGGGTGCGGAGGCTCTCCGGTGTGGTTCGTGTTTTGGTGATTTGGCTCCGATCAACCTGTAGAGAAAAGAATGGTGATCACGGTGATATAAAAATTGTATCAAACGGAGGCCGGGAAGGGCCTCATCGGAGGCAAAAATCGAGGAGGTGCGCAGCGGCGCCGCTGGGTTTCGGTCGTATTTTTCGACCGTTTGGCCGGGAGTTTGACTCCGATTTGACCACAAGGGAACTCAGCATTGAAAAACGAGCCGGGGGTATGAAATTTACCTCGATTGGCGGTCAAAAAACTCCCCAGTGCGGCAGCGGGTGGCGGCAGCCGGCTCCTCCGGCGTCTGGCTCGTCTTCTCCGGCGAGGGCTAGCGGCTAGGGTTTCTGTGGTCAGGTGTGGGGGGTTTATTTATACCATTTGCCTTTTAATCACAGCCGTCCATCTTGATTTAATCTACATCGTTCGATCGCGATTTAATTTAGATTAAATCTGGGCCGTCCATCGCGATTAAATCTGGACCGTCCGTACTTGATTGAATCTGGGCCGTCCGTGCGCGTGCATCTGGGCCGTCCGTGCGCTTGCATCTGGGCCGTCCGATCGCGTGCACGCTGATCGTCCACATGGCCCGTTCCCGGGTCGGCGTGGCCTTGCCACGCGGCAGGTCCTCGTTGGCCAGGGTTGCTGACTGGGCCGCTGACGTGGCTGCTGACGTGACGCTGACGGGGCACAATTTTTCTAAATTACGTTTTGACCCCTGGTTTCCGAATTTCTTTTCAAAAATACCCCCTGAATCCAAATTTTCACCACTTTTTTTCCAAAATCAATTTCAATTAAATCCAAATAATATTTTTACCCAATTTTATCATTATTAATATTTTATATTCACAAAAATTAATTTAAATTAAATTAAATCAAAAATAAAAAAATAAAATAGAAAAAAATTATTTTGGGTGTTACATTTTCGGTTAAGAAAATTCAGATTAATCTTAATACATAAGTAATAAAATAAAATATTTATTTTTTTGCCCACTGAGAACTTTGATAACGACTTACCAAACCAACTGTAAAACAAATTTCTGGTCGTGTATATAATATGAGATACATCAAACTGCCTATCGCATTAGTATAAGGAATATTGCTTTTTTTTTTCTCTTCATTTATCTTTGGGCACTGATCAAGACTAAAGGTTAAACCCTTCTTAACAAGAGTGTCAACGGGTTTGAAATTATGCATTTAAAATCGTTTCTTAATATATGCTTCTTAGCACACTCGTAGAAATTTTTTGGGATGGTCTCTCATTATGTCTACGCTAAGGACAAACCTAACTTCACCAATGTCCTTGTAACACCCCGTTTTTTTTTTTTTCTTAACGGTATACGATAAAGCACTCATACAACACAATACCGAAATCCATATTATTCCAACCATGCACAAGAGAAACTTGTCCACCTTCCTTGTTCCAAATCAATTGTACATACATCTCTACCTCTACAACACATAGTAATACAATATCAAACATTCCTAGATATTCAATATCCAGACTAAACCATCCTTTCAAACTACTTTAAATCACAAACAAAACTTGTGCCCTATGGCACTACCGACGGGGCTCCGTTACCAGCCGCTCGGATCCCAATTCCGTTCTTACTCCACCTGTGAATGATGAGAAGTGAGTTCACATAACTCAATACGATAAAAATCAAGTTGTAAGTGCAATATGCAGTGACAAGAATTCCCAGAAATGTCTATATGCATTTATCCTACCCAACCCCAAACAACTCATAACCCCCTCCCTACACTAATCATCAAGGTCCTATTCCAAGGAAATAGCACGACCAAACAACCACACCCACCCAACAATCATCCATTAACTCCCGTCACCAACATCGGAGACTCATACACTCTTCCCCCATCTCCCGACCTCACGATGCTACACACACACACACACAACCACCTTCATTCCACGTCACCAATATCGGCGACTCATACCCATATCTCCACCTCTCGACCTAATAGGCCACGCACACACACAAACACCATTATTCCACGTCACCAACATTGGCGACTCATACTCACTCCTCCACCTCTCGACCTAAAGAGGCCACACACACACACGAATACCATCATCTCGCATCACCAACATCGGCGACTCATACTCACTCCTCCACCTCTCGACCTAAAGAGGCCACACACACACACGAATACCATCATCTCGCGTCACCAACATCGGCGACTTATACTCACTCCTCCAACTCTCGACCTAAAGAGGCCACATACACACACAAATACCATCATCTCGCGTCACCAACATCGGCGACTTATACTCACTCCTCCAACTCTCGACCTCGTTGGGCCACGCACACACACAAACATTTCCACCTCCCGTCACCACCATCCGTGACTCATACACCCTCCTACCCCTTTCGACCTTGCTAGGCCACACCCACACACATATCCCCTCCCTGCTCCACCAACATCGGCGACTCAACCCGCCCCCACCAACGGCCTCCAAATCTCCCATCCCAACCGCATGCTCCCATCTCCCCTTGTACCATGCTAGTCCCAAGCGCTCTAACTTGCTAACTCCTACTGACCACATTACTCCTCTTATCTCATCCAATCCCCCTCAAATCCTGTTTCCTAGTCCCCTTTGCCGTACCTTCCAGCCCCCTTCCCTCTCCTACTGCCCCCTACACGCTACCTCCCTCATCCTCCTGCCTCCTCCCGTTTCCTATACACTTTTGCCTACCTAGGGCGATTAACCTCTCAGCTTGCACCGTTTCACGCCACACACACGCCCTCACC